TGCCTCCTCCTGTCCTTTCAGTGTGTGTGTGTGTGTGTGTGTGTGTGTGTGTGTGTGTATGGTACAACACACCTCCTGTCCTTTCACCCCAGCCTAACTTCTTGAGGACTAGTTGAGCATTGGAGTCCCCAGAAGATCCCCAGGAATCTGCAAACATTGGCAAACTCATTGCTGGGAAGGATTTTATATCAAGACTCCTACAAAGACCACAGCAAAATAGCTGAATCCCAAATTGCATAAGCAGTTGTGGGACTAATCCGTGCTGTCCCTTTTCCACCCTCAGTGATAAGCAGTCTTATCTAAGTCAGCCCAGCTCCTCAGAGTCCTGCTCCCACCTTCTGGACAGAAATCTTGGACAGAAATCCTGAAGTCCTAGATATTTGTAGCACCATTAGCCCGGACTAGGTCCCTTTCCTCAGAGCTGCTTGTCCATCTCCCAGGGACTTGGTTGGAACAGGCTATCACCTTCTCCTGCAGGGGCTCCCCTCTCCCGGGGAAGACAGTCTCCATTCCAGGCTGCTCTGCTTCCTGCAGCAGCAACCACTGTCCTTGTTGGAGTGTCTATACACAGCTGGCATTTGCATTAGTTCAATAAATGTTTACTGATTGGTGATTACCGGGGATACGGATGAAAATAAGCCATAGCTCCTGCCTGTTAAGAAACCCACAAGCTATAGGAGCAAGCAATGTAAATAAATAAGTACAGTAGATTATTTTAAGCTTCCTTTATAATTTGGAGATGTTGGCATTTAGTGACATTTGCTCATCTCTGGAGAAGCCAGGATGGAATAGAGCATCTGACGCAGAGCTTCTGGAGACTCCGTATCACTAATGAGAGTGGCAGTAATATCGCAATCTTACAGTGTCGATAGGCACTAGCTCCATTATACAGTTGAAGAAACTGAGGCATGAAGCAGTTAACTAACTTGCCAAAAGCCAGACACTGAGAGAGTGGCTGAGAAAAACATCAACTCTTTTCCTGTTTCACTCCAAAACAGTCTTATTCTTCACCTGTCCCTGCATGACTCTCTCTGACACCCTCTCTTTCGAAAAGGCACTTGCCACCAGCCTGAAAAATGATGGAGAGTGACTCCTTTCAGTCATCATCTTGCAAAATTGTTTCAACTTTTGAAATCAGGCCAGCCTAAGACATGTGATGTGACAAGTGAACATTTCCCCATTCAGAGGATCACTGAAGGAAATGAAAACCAACAGATCATTGTTATGCACGAGAAAACACCATAATGGAGAAATCTATGAACATCACATCTATAAGTCTCTGGGAAATTTGCAGCAGAAACAAATGGGTCAGATTATGAAGAGGTGATGCCTCACTAGTGGGAGCTTGGGAGCCATGTGGCCAGTGGAATGATCCTTTCTTTCAGCATGGAATGAATACTCTGGTAAAATAAAGGAAAGGCCACTTAGCCACCTGCTCCTTGAGTGTATGATCTATGTGTCTGGTTTTGATGTCTGGGAAAATAAAGGAATGCTTAAGGTTATTCCTCTGGACATTTGGGCAGATGCTTGGTGGATTCTTCTGCAGGTTAGTGGAAGGCCTTAGGCCACATCCCTTCAAACTTGGCAGGGTTTGGAGACCCACTCAGGTTCTTTCTAAAGGTGCAAATTGGATGGTAAAGTCACTCTGAGGCACTTGGTCAACACAATGCCTCTTAGAGCAAGGACTGTCCAGCAACCACTGTCCTTCCTGAAGAAGGGGACACTTCCTAGTTGATCAGGGGCTGTTTGGTCTTCAGGTCAAAGTTTCTATCCTGTGCCTACTTGGGCATATTCTGAATTTTCTCCCAATACCTGGCTACTTGGGAATTTGTCCTACTCAGAAAAGTATCTTCCTCACATAGAGTTGATCCACTAGTAACAAACAAGCAACCTCTCCCCTTCAGGGTCCCTTGTGCATCCACTGGAAAGTGTGGATTGTTTTCCCACACATTCACCCTCAATTTATGTAATAGCGCCAAAACTTTCTGAGAGGAAGCACCTTTCTGAGAACAAACACATATTTGTTCTCTTCTTTGGATTCAATATTTTTTTTAAGATTTATTCATTTATGCATACAAGAACTGGTGTACAGGCCAGAGGTCTGGGGGAAGTGAGAAGAATCACCAGAGACAAAGTGGGGAGCAGAATAGGCAGACTGACTGAAATACATTGCTGAGGAGAGCAGCAGGCGAGTCAGGAGAGGTCTGCTATGCCATGTGGGTAGCTCCCTGGACGGGGATTGAACTCATGTGCAGTGACTGTGGATAGCTTAATAGGTTGCATCTTAACCCCTTGTGCCACCAGGGAGGCCCTGGATTCAATATTTACATGAAAGGTTCTGGACAACTTTCATGAAATAATATGATATATCTCCTTATAGAAATATTGATAAAAATAATGAGTTATTGAACATTCAACACTTATTATATATTTAACTGTATATACCATGGTCAACACTTTCCAGATATTATCTCATTTATTTTCCACACATACATATATGAAGATGAAATGCTATTATTCCCAATTTACAGATGCAGAGGTTGAGCAAGGAGCACAATAGTACAGTCAGGTACTTGCACCCAGTTGTCAAAGTCAGAGACCTTAGCCACTGTGGTTTGTGTTGACATGTAAATTAGAGGATTGAATGCTCTGAAGTGTGCTCTGTAAAGACCCTGTTTAATTCAGAGCTCTGTTGAGCTCTGCCAGGTACCATGTCTGCAATCAGCAAATATAACCCTTCCTAACTCATTTGTGTAAAGCTTGGCATAGTAGTATTGGTGGCAATGTTAATGATAAAAAGGGTAATGATAGCGTCTACTGAGAGACTATTATGCTAGATGCTTTCCATGTGTTAGGTATCTCAGCAAATCCTTATGATGATGCTATAAAGCAAGTGCTATTTTCATCTCTATTCAGTAGATGAGGACACTAGAACCTCAAATGCTGTGTTGATCATGGTCACCTCTCTAAGAAATGGCAGAACAGGGATTTGAACCCAGTTAAGCCTGATGGTTTCAGCCCCCTGGATGGTGTTTGCTTTTGTCCTTACCTGAGGGAACATGAGTTTCCAACAGAGCTCCACCCACACTACTAGTTCAAACTCTAAATGAACCTGATGATTTTCTTCCAATGTCTTAAGCACACCAGGAAAAAGCAGGTCCCCTTGTTCCCCTGTCCCTTTGCCTTGTAGAATGTGAATCATTGGAATCTTTGGGTGCTCTGCTATCAGCCAGAGAGCACTTCTGCAGGAGCCTGGTAAGGGGAAGGCAGTCCCATAAGTCTCATTGCAGCAGTGTGGACATCGCTCTGTGTGGAACCCTATAGGCCAAGAGCAGATTAAGGCTCCAAGATACACAGATTTCAAATTGAAGCAATAAAGCACATTTTTTTCTTGGCTTGCAATTGCCCCTTAATTAGACCATGAATAGCAATTACACTATAAAGTCTAGCATAGGAATTTGTAGATAATTACGGTATGTCTTGGGCAATGGGTTTTAATGGAAGAACTGGACTAATCATTGAGTGACTTTCACCCTCTACCAAGTGATAAAATCATCATAAAATGCCCATCAATCACTCAGATAAATTGCTAGTGATCTTAATTTCAGTTACAGTAGGTCTAAGAGGATGGAAAACCTCAGCCTTCCCAGAAGCTCTGTATTTGTGCCCTTGAAAAGAAGTGGGGGAACAGAGGCAAAGGTGCTTCCATGGTCTGGAGACTTGTCCTGTCTACATCTGCTTTGCACACATCACTTACTTAATCCTTGGTTTGAATTTGTGAGGAGTAGATCATGCCCATTGCACAGTTAAATGCATTGAGACTTGGAGCAATTTACCCATTCATATACCTCTGACAGATTAAGAATCTAAATACAGGTGTTTTAATCTTTAAAGTTCATGGCCAGTCAACTCTACTGTAATCACTCAACACTTATTGAGCATCTGTGCAGCAGTTTTCCATTCATCATGTGATTTAGTACTTTCAACAGATTTATAAAGTAGGCATTTTTCCACATTTACTAATGAAAAAGCAGACATTGGACAGGAGTGGTAGCTCTTTTCTTGGATTATTACCTTCTTATAATACACACACAAACACAAACACAAACACACACACACAGATGCACACACACATTCTTTCTGCCTATCCATCTGTATTTTTTACTTACTCATACCACATGCTTTTGGGTTCCCTCAAAAGCAGGCTGTCAGGCAATATAAGAGGTAACCTATGAAGCATGGCTGGGGGTTACAAAATGGCACAAAGAATGAAAGGCAGCCATAGAAGAGCAAGTTAGCAAAGTTGCTACCAATGCTACCAAGTTAGCAAAGTCTGGGCCATGACTTCATATGGTAACCAGAAAACAGGGTGGACCACACACATCAGCATTACTTCACTGAGGAGAAGTTTGGGTATTCATTTACCAACTCCCCCAACTAGCAATCATTGGGGTGGGAGAGGTCATTCTCCCATGAGTCTAGTTTGTGGTGAGAATGGCAAAATGAGTTCAGAACAGGTAAAGGCCTTCATTCAGAAAAGGAGTTTAGGCATTTGTAAGTGGTAGGGACAGGGCAGGACACCTGTCCAATAGAGGAATGGGCTGACTATCAGTGAAGCTAAAAGCAAAGAAGGGGCAACAGAAAGCACAGCCTTGGAATCAGATAGATCTGGCTAGAATGCTTGCTGATCTTCCACTGGTAGTGACTGGCCTGGACTAATGTGTTTGCCATCTTTTATTTAGTCTAGGTCAACTCATATTTGAACCAGGGAGACTGATGCCCATATCATAGAGTGGATTAGAAGACTCCAGGGGATTAGACCTGTCAAGTCCCAATACTGCACTTACCCAGCACACAGTTGCTCTTCAGGATATTAATTCACCATCATCCTTTGAAATTGTCTTTAGGCCAAATGGAGAGGCAGTTTCTGCTCTAGTCAAAGTATCAAATTGTTCAACATGTAGGTTCTCTATAACAGTGAAGTATAATTTCTTTTTCAGGAGGTCATGAATTCCTTTGAAAATCTATTGAAATTTCCCAGCCCCATCCCAGAAATACACATGGGAGATTTTAAAAAGCCACCTTGCAGAAAGCAGAAGTAATACTTCCTCGATTATCTGGGGGAATCAATATGTAAGTAGAAGTATATTTAGTGAATTTGCTGTTGCCTTGCCTGATACGAGCATTCCCAAGACTTAATCCCAGTGGTGATGTAAACCTACATGGGTTTTGAAAGGAAAGTATTCCAAACCATGTCCGCAAGCAACTGAGGGCCAGCAAAGACCCTTATTCTCTATCCAACTTCACAGCAGCATCAAGACCACATGCTTCATCAGGGACAAAAGCATTTTGTGAATCCTTTGCTGAGTTCTGCTTTGGGCCATTGGTTTCCCTTCATGTCAGTGTCCTTCCAGAAAATGATTTAGGTCAAGCTGAAGGATAAATGCTGACTGGTTTATTCTGAGCTCTCAAGTGCAAGAAAAAAGTGGTGGAAAAAAAAATAGAAGCCACATTTGGAATTATTTAACCTGGGTAAGAAACATCAGTGTTTCATGTATAGGATAGAATCTATGAACATCTTGAATCTAAGTTTTGGTTTTTTCCTTTTGGGAAAGGAAACGTGGAGCTGCTTGCTATTTCATTACCTTTTCATAATCACACTCATATTTTTTGCTTGCTAAGTTTCCTCTTTCCCCCTAAACACATAGGTCAGAACCACATAGCACAGGGACCCATAACTTTCTGACATTGCCCTATGTCCTCATTTTCTTTTTTCTTTATTCCCTCCTGCAATATTCCAAGACTAAAAAACTCATTCTGAAACTTCAGAAGGAGAGTCCCATTAGCTCTCTTTGTGACAAGGGGCTCTTCCATGTAAAAAAATAGTATTTGTCCCACTTGGACTCTGAGTGACCAAAGAGGGATCACTTAACCTCAAGTTTACTGCTGAGTGATCCACCCCATCAGACTCCCTTTCAGTGGAAGAGGAATTTCCTACCATCTGTATGTGACAAGAGCAAGTGGCTAGGGGACTGTTTGAGTCACTGTGTAAGGATTTATTCCTCCTTCAGAGATTAAGAAAGAGGCACATTTTATGTCTTTTCCACGGCTTCCCTGTTTCTCTCTTACCTTCATTTGTCCTCAATAAAGTATATGGTTATCAACAGGACTGCTCAAATGTCATGCAACAAGGGAACACACTACAGGCACAAGAATGATAGCAAAATGGCAAGAACTTTACTACCTTTCTGCTGACCTGACTCGCTTGAGATCAGCAATTGCAGAGCTCTGTGTGCAGGGGTTTAGGGACAGCACTGGAGCTGTGGACTGGAGAGCTGAGCCTCAACAGCTGTGTGACCCTGGGCAGGTCCTCTGAGTGTTCCCTGATAGCAGACCACATCTGTTGGGTTTTCTGGGGAGATTGCATGAAATAACACTGTGAACTACTGGATGTATTATACGTTACCATTAGATGTGAGGGCTATTTCCCACAACTCTAGGTTCCTGGTAGTCTGTTGTGTGTGTGTGTGTGTGTGTGTGTGTGTGTGCCACATTAAAGCATAGCCACATTACTATGAATCTCACAAAAGCAGAAAGAGAGATATTATTTAAAAAGTTGCATGACCACAGGAAACCTACCTGGTCTCATTATACCTAGCTGAGACATATGAGAGAGTTACCAAGTAAAATATAGGACATTCAATTAAATGTATTTTTAGTTTAAATAAGTCCAAACTTTGCATAGAATATAGTTGTACTAAAAAAAATTACTTATTGTCTATCTGAACTCCAAATTTAACTGGATGACCTGTATTTTCATTCACTAATGCTGGCCAGATACTTTTGTTTGGATATATCTTACTACTCTAAGTTGCTTACCTGGTTGAGAAGTGTAAAAGCTCAAGGGAACGATCAAATTATGTTGCCCTAATTTGTATCCCAAGTGATGATGACTGTCCTGCATAATCTTAATCATGTTTTAAGCAATGTTGGAAAGATATTAATACCTTCAGACAAGCAGGCACAAATATCTTTTTATGATATGTAGATTTGCCAAAAGCAAATACAATAGCAGAATGAAAACAGTGCAGCTAGAACCAGATAAACCCCGTTACCTCTTCATTCAGAGGCATCAATCTATAAAGGAAATTTAAAATTTTTGTCACAAGAGTGTGAAGATATACTTTTGTGATATGTGCATTTGCCAGAAGCAATAGAAAAGTCAAATGAACCCATGGCTAGAGCCATAGAATGCTTGTCACTTCTCTATCCAGGAGCATCAATCTCCAAAGGAAATTTTAATAGTTTTTGTTTTAAGAGTATTTCTTTGTCCATGCTAATGTAAGAGATTGGAGAGGAAAATTTCCCAAAAGGACAGACAAGATTTGTACAAATAGAGATAAGTTTCAATGTGTCCTTCCAAATGTCTGGTTTGTGACTGTCCTTATCTTAGAGGAAAGCGGTTCCTTGGAAAGGAGGAGAGATTAGTATACTCTTAGAAGGATGTGCAGTGGGAAAGTCTGACATCATAGGCTAGATTCCATTCCATTCCATTCTATTCTGGAGGGGGGGAGGCATTTCCAGGTTTGCTGTTCTCTTATTGTTTCCATTTTGTAACAACTTTCATCCCAAATGGGTTAAAGACAATAAGCATCTTTTATTGCCTCTCCCAACTCTAGAGTTCCATTAGGATTAACTGGGTGTGCTTTTGCTCCTAATTTTGTTGAATGGGCCCATAATCATCTGTAGGCTTGACTAGTCTGAAATAAGCAAGATGACTCATCAAAGGACTGATGTTTTGTCATGCTATTGGTCAGGCGCTCAGGAGAGCTGATAACTAGCAGCAACTCGCTACACAAGAGAGTTCCTAGCACACCAAAACTGTACATTTTAAGGTCCAGTCTTGCAAGTTATGCAGGGTCACTTCCACCACATTCTATACGTCAAAGCAAACCAAAGGCCAGTCCATATTCAAAGATAAAGGAATAGGTCATACTTCTAGGTTTTTCAAACAAACAAAAAAAACACCATCTTTAATTACCTACAGTTCATTCTGTGACCACAGATTATTTCCATTCTTCCCATTTGCAAAATGTACTCCCTCACCTCCCAGGAAGCACAGAAGTCTTATTCAGTTATAGCCTCAGACTTAGGCTTGAAGTTCAGGATCTTATAACTTAATCATATCTCAGAGTCTGTGAGAAACTTGCCTTGATGTGTCAATTTTTGCTGGTAGGTTTTAGTATGATGTTCCCTGATTTAATTCTATGAATTATAGAAACACAACTCAACATACAATGACGAAACAGACATAGGACAACTATGATAGGAACTCAAGTTCACAAAGGAAGGAAATATGAGACATATAAAGATCACTGTTTCACAGCAATTCTGAAATTCATTGGGTTAGTGTAATAACCCCCTCTGCTCTGGGGGCAGGTGGTACATATTGATTAGGACTAAATTTTGCTACTCACATCTTAGCTCTGTTAGATCTGCTTCTCTGATCATAGCTCTGTTATGTGGGCCCTTGGTCCTGCCCTCCGAGTCAACTCTCCTGTGTTGACAATATTTTCTTGTTGTTTACCTTCTTGACAATCTGGCATTTGAGGCTTTCATCCTGTAGATACTATGCCTTTCAGGACTAGGTAATTCCTAGAGATAGTAACTCCTTCCCCTTTTAGTATGCCTTTGACTTCAGCTAATTCAGAACACAAACCTGTAGCCAACTCATTTATCAAATTCTCATGTGCCTACCTGACATTCCTTCTACTAGAAGTCACTCCAGAATCAGGTACTAGACAACTAGGTTTTGCCCCTATAACCCAGAATCCCTCCAAAATTATACGAACTACCTAATCCTAAACATATTCAGCATAAGTACCCTGACTTACCCATTCCTTCCTATGAAAGCACCAGTAAGGACTCCAGGATATTCTCCCCACTCTTCCTCTTGACCATCCCTGGCCCCTTCATGTGATACTGCATGGGGTGTCATTTTTGCTGCTTTTAGGGAATCTGTGAATGTAAACTTCCTCCCTCACCATAGTAATTTCCATGTTTACATTTAGTGATTACAGTATACCTGATTAAAGCAAATTCTGGGTGCCTTTTAATCCATCTCCCTTTAATTAACAAATGGTCCATGTTTACAGTGGACTCACTTTGTCTCAGACAGCTTCCTGTCTGAGAAAGTTAGAGGAGAGAGAGATCTCCTCACTTTTTGTTTTTGAGGGTTCAATCAGGGGAAGAGACTCACTTTCCCTGGGTCTCAAGACCTTCCTCAATTGTAGGAGGAGCTGGATAAGTGAAAGTCTTGAAGGGAAAGATGGAAGATCAGAGGACAGTCACAAACTGGGTGGCCTGGGAAAATGGAGCTAGTGGAGGAGCTGAAGTTTGCTGACAAAGCACCAAAGTGGACCGCCATGAACACGATTTAGGGGAAACATCTGTGGAAAGTTCTAAGTTTTGTATAGTTGCTGGCTGTGAGGAACTGCAAATCTGTCTGAATTGTACCCGGGACCAGAGCATGTTAGGCAGAGTTGGCATCTGGAGGAAGATCTAGAGACAGAGAAGATGAGCATAAGGGCCAGCTGGAAGCCACAGGGCACTTTGATATGTGACCATGAAATTTTTGACACACTTGACTTCAATTTAGACACTCAGCTTTTCTCTTCATTGCGGAGGACAGGACTCCCCATGGCCTGTCACAGGGGACCTTATTTCTTCCTTTCCTGATTCTGTATGGAGAGAATTTATTCATAGTGTCTGAATCCTTTTCACTCTCCCACATATCCATCCTCATATTTGCCCTGTAGTCCAAGAAAGAATATTTAATAATGAATAGTTTAAATCTTGATATCCTTTGAACTTATTCCTTCCTTTCTCCTTCCTTCCTTTCTTCTTTTCTTCCTGCTCTCTATACTTGCTTTATACAAGACCTATGCATTCAGTACCTGTGCTATACTTAACACCGTGCTAGGTGCTGGGGTAGATCACAATATGTATACTTGGTAAAGGGACAGCTTCAATTACTCATAGGTGTGTCTGCTTACCTGTTAATTCATCTAACGATTATAATTTGGGATAGAATATATGGACTTGGTGCTGGGTTTTGGGAGGTACCTAGTTCC